CGGCAGCCAACACCGAGGGACGAGCCACCCCAGCTGCCGCCCGAAGGGGCCCTAGGACCTGGCCAACATACGCCACTTGACCCATCCCTGGCGCCGAAATCCTCGGGGAGAGGGAATCCCGCGCACCGAGGACCCGAACAGCGGATACGGAAGGAAGAAGTCTGCGAGCCGCAAGGAGTATAACGATCGCACCGCGAACCCCCCGCTTATACGAATCCTTTGTTCTTTGCTTTTCTTTCTTTTTGTATTTTTATAATAATTCCCTTTTTTCTTTCTTTCCCGTTCTTTTGTGTCGTGAGTGCGTGTGTCCGAATTGTGGTGTGTACCTGTCCGACGGAGGAGACGACATCCATCCGCCAAGGAAAAGAAAAGGTAGGATCTTTGCCTTCTGTAAGATCCCTAAGCGTGTGTGCGAGCGTGTGTGCGTGTGGGTGGTCCCTGGCGATAGGACCACCAGCCCCGGCGACGAGGACCCCTAGGGACCGTATTCGCGGAATATCTTTACCTCGACTTGCGCTTTCCGTTTCCGCGATCCTGGGCCGCTGACCCCAGTTCGGGTTATTTTTTTTTCTTTCGTTGTATTTTGCATTTAGGTCCAGCGTTCCCTTTGCTGTCCACGACCCCCAAGAGGGCGTGCTCCCCAAAGCGTACCGCGTTTTCTTTTCGTTTCCGATCTTGTATCTCTCGCGTGTACCGTGAGTCCTCGTGTCGCGATATCTTTGCCGCAATTAGCGATCGTGACCCAGTTCCCTTACCGAACTTTGTACCACGAGGAAATCGTTCGCGTTCTTCTCGAAGGGCTAGCTTCGGCCCACAATAAAGCTAGATTTATCTTAGATACTCGCAGATTCTCTACTTATTTTCTGTCCCCCCTTGAGTACCGCTCCCGGAAGAGCTGCCGGAAGGGCGATTCCCCCGGACGCGTGCGTTGCACTGGTGCTCCTTTAAAGAAATCGTCCGTGGTTGTGCGTTGGCGCCCCTTTAAAGAAATCGTCCGTGGGTGTGCGTATCGGGACGTGGAGGACCGCTTTCCCTAGCCGCCCTCCACCTCAGGGACTTTTCCTTTCGTCCCTCCCACCGATCCGTCACAATGTATTCCGTAGATATTAGAAGAACCTACTATCCTTGTCGATGTGCGAAAATAGAACTTGTCCTGGAGGTGTGAATACTTCACGAGATAGTGGTCACTTTATGTCCAAAATGTATTTTATAATAATGTGCTCAAAATGACATTAGTAGGAACTGGTAATGCCGTATTCACTATTCCTTATTTATGTTACATTACCAATCTTTTCCTCATTGGCTGCAGTCCATAACAATTTAATGTACGTTTTTGTGAGCTGATAATTATTTATCACCAAAAATGTTTCAACCTTAGAGTAATTACATAACTGACGCTGTCATCTGTTCCAAACTATGAGGAATTTGGCTTATTTACTGTGTTTGAGAGTTTGGTTGTAATGAAAATGTAATTACAGCTAAAAAAGTATGACATGAGAAATACTCTTGTTGATAGTGTGAATTCTCGTCCGCCTGTATCGAATAACGGCTTAACACGTTCGTCGCCCAGCGCGATTCGGTTAAGTTTCTCGCGGGGCCCGAATCCGACTGTCGGAGCGCCAAAACAGCTGAACATTGTTAGTGTCCCACGTCCTTATATCCTACTCGACTTATCTATTACTGCACTACACTACTACTAATAACACTCTAGTCAACGCACGCATCGCAGCTATAGATGCCTCGGTGACCATGACAACGGATCTTACTACAGTTATCTCACTCAGATTTAGTCGAGAAGCATACTTTTTTGAGACGCACGTCGGTGACCTTTTTATTTTCAGAATGTAAAAAAAAATATAAAAAAAACTACGACCTATTGTTCCAATTGTCCAAAATCACCTCAAATGTGTTTAAAATGTTTTTAACGAACACCATGCGACATAGTATAATATAATATGTTATCCTAAATATAAATTAGCAAAAAGTATAGTATAATATGTATATTTTTGTGTTATATATTTTATATTTATATTTTAGTGCTTATTCCATTAAATTCCTTTTAAAAATCCAACTGAAAGTCCTATTAACTTGAATAAGAAGAGCGTCACCCAAATCTGCGATGAACGTGTTAAAGAAAAATATCAATATATATTATTCGATTGTCGACAGAGTTACACGTATTAATGGTAAATTAAAGAATAGTTTATTAAAAAAGAAAAATTTATTACTGAATAATATACATAATGGTAATATAGATGAAGATGCATAAATGCACGCGGCAACGTGCTTCGCCGGTAACCAAAGACACACTGTAATGAACAACTGAATACATATTTCAATATTGCTACCAACTTATTTGTAGCTTAGAGAGATTCTAGTGCCAACAATTATCAGTGAAAATCGACTAACATTTTTCTCTAGGTCCTTTTTTTCTACTCTTAATTTAAAAAATGCAGTAATTTGTCCAGGTCTCAAAATTATTCTGCATACTTAAAGAAGAAAAACATGTATCTATAGAAGTGCCATTATTGTACTAGTGCATACTGTAAAAAAATGCAGTTAAATACACTCAATTATTATATGCTAGTCTAGTAACTAATAATGCAACTTAATGTAATGTAGGCTGCGTGGAAATTAAATTGTTCGTTTTTTTAAACATGGAGTGGATTGTAAACGTAATTATTATTACTTACTTACTTGACATCTACCTATGTCTTTAAGGTCATTATTATCATTTGATTCACTCATATTCTTTCCGTGTTTATCATATCCATTCATTCTGGTAATTTTTTATAAACAGCACGAAATTGATTATGTTGCATAATTTTTGGTGGTTATTCATAATGATCAAGTATTATAAATATTTGCCACATCAGTTATTTTGTCCTTAATGTATATAGGAGTTAAACGTTAACCGTCGCGTCGAGGGTAGCAGTACCGCGAAAGAAATGAGCGAAACAAATACGGCAAGAACTGCACGACAGTACAATGCGACGATATCTACAAATACGGTACGATCACGAATTACGGTTACGACACGATTATGATCACGGCTTCGATTTCGGTTTTGCTCTTTTGATTGCTCTTTTAAACGCACTATGTCTATAAAGAAGTTTTGTGCTTTTAAACTTCTACTTTTACATTCTTATAACAAATCTTTTTTGCAATAACTTCCCGAGTTCAAATTGTTAATCTATCATTTTCACATTCTGCAACAAATTTTTTCCGCAATTTTACATCTTCCAATTTTTGGTGTTGTACGCAAATTTAAATTAAGGTCAATGTACATTGTAGCTTCATATCCTCTTACACAGCAGTCTTTTTCTGCGTTGCCATATTTTTCTGCAAAAATTGCATTCTGAGTTTTAATACTCTTTATTCTTTTATATTTAATAAACACTCTAATTATCATACTAAACTTCTATTAGGTTATTCTAGAAGTTATTTTCGATTTCTCGTTAACTATCACTTGAAAATTCTATATCTTGTAGAATTATGTACAACCCATTCTGTTCTATAACTTTTTTATTATATCTCGGAAAACCATTCCTCTCAAATTATTATTTAGATTTATTTCTAAAATATGATCGGAGTGATTATTTCTATCATTTAATGTATTTAACTTTTTGTGACGAATAGAATACATTAAAGGAAAACGTGAATAATTATTTGGAAGATTGATGTATGAAGAGTATAAGGAATGGGATAAAACATTCCACTTAGGTATTAATACTTAATTTATTTTAACGTCGAAATCCGCACTTCATAGCAATTTATATACAAATCCAAACATTTTCAAACGATCCTGAACCATTTTTCGGAAGATATTGAGACGGTTTACAACCTAAGACGTAGGATGTTACGTATACTCATCCGCAAAACTTTTGATATTATTTGTTTTAGCCACGAACCGACAGTCGCTTCTTTTTCAACATTTTAGATCAAAATTTCCGAGTTTAAATTTTTCAACCTGTTGCGAACGATATAAACAATAATATTATGAACTTTATAAAGTAAACTTCATATTTTTAGTACTATTGCTCCTCTTTTAGTATAGTATAATTATGATACATAGAAAGAAACAGCATGTATGTGATATCGAACAATAAAGTAGTTCATTGTTGTCTGGTATATTTGTAACAATTTTTGTGTAACCTACATTGGAATAACATTCTTTTTTATTTTCATGAATAGAATGCGTTAATGAGGTGGACATCCTGCATATACATGGTGTGTTCCGAAAGTAATGCGAACGTAATTCCTGCGCCGCTCCTATTGGTCGGAGGGGGATCGGACCACTTAGGCTAGATGGGGGGGGGGCTCTAAGCTTTCTAACGAACCCGATCCCAGGGCTCTCCGAGCTGTGAAAGGGATAGGACTTGAATTTTTGTGAACCCCTGTTTGGTGACCGTATCACGGAAAGAGTGGAGTCGACGATTGGAACAACGATACGCGATAAAGCTTTTGCGCTAAACTAAACAAATCTCCTGAGGAGACAAATAAAATGATTCGTGAGGCTTATGGGGACTCTGCTCTATCGTACTCACAAATTTCGAGGTGGTTGAAGGCCTTTAAGGAAGGGCGGGAAGAGGTTCACGACGATCAACGCTCTGGGCGACCACCAACCAGCAAAACAGTCCGTCAAATAGTCCATAAAGAATTTCTTCCTGAAGGACAGACAGTTAACACCGCCTACTAAGTGGATGTGCTGGAAAGACTGCGAAAAAGGGTCGTTAGGACGAGAAAACACATCTCCGGTACCTGGATACTGCATCACGACAACGCGCCTTGCCACAACGCGCTGCGAGTACGTGAGTTTCTGACCCAAAACGAGGTGTTGACGCTGCCTCAACCCCCCTATAGTCCTGACCAGGTACCGGCAGACTTTTTTTTGTTTCCTTGGATCAAGACACCCCTAAAAGGAACTCGTTTCTCGTCGATAGAAGACATCCAAGCGACCGCGACCGACCCCCTGAAAGAGGTTCCGGAAAACGCATTCCAGGATGCGTACCGTTCATGGCAGAGTCGCTGGCAAAAATATGTAGAAGCCCAAGGGCAGTACTTTGAACCAATTCTTACAAATACTCAAAATTCTTCAATAAATTCCTTTAAAAAAAAATCACTCGCATTACTTTCGGAACACACCATGTATTCTAAACTAAGAATTGAGACATTTAACACTCAAAATTTTGAAATATTTCATGAATTGTGGAATTTCTTAATCGTGGCGTTTAACACTCTTTTCATGTAGACTGTTTCTCAAAATTGCTCTGTGTAAAATAAGAGATACAGCTCACTTCAAAAAAACAAATCACTGTGAAATCTATAAAACACCTTTATTTAAATAAGATTTAAATTTATGGCAAAAGCATTTCAGGTTTTTTCACATGGAATACAGTATTTTTAAAGAAATCAAACTTTATAAAGAAGACCTAGAGTATTAAATAATAAACAAACATATTCAGTTTATCGATTGCAAATTAGAGAGAATTTCGGGTGCAGTAGATCAAGAGCAGTAGTGAATGGCTTTACCTATACCCATAAAATAATTTTAAGAAAAAAAATACACCGACTTCGAAATGCACTAAAAAGTATAAAATAATTTCTATTTCCTAATGAAGTAATTTGTATTTCATTCAATCATACAATTACGTAACAGATATGAATGAAACCTATTTACCCGGTAGGTGGTATATTAAATACATTTCAACATTTTTGGAGGCGGCCCAAAATTGCAAATACCTCAGTAAACGTTGCTGCCAATAACCAGTTGATTGTGGTATGGCGTATTGTAAATTAATAAATCCTGAGAAAGAATACGAACCATTATTAATGAGTTTCTGATATAAATGAAATTGAATCGACTTCATTCGCATGTGGAAGCCATGGATCTAAGAACCTACATTTCGCAATGTTTCTGATATAAATGAAATTGAATTGACTTCGTTCGCATGTGGAAGCCATGGATCTAAGAACCTATAAACGGAGCCCACGACGCGGGAATTACCAATTTGCGGCAGATGGGCTCTATTTTTATATAAGAACCTATAAACGGAGCCCACGACGCGGGAATTACCAAATTTGCGGCAGATCGGCTCTATTTTTATAGTATATGCGGCGAGCGAGTCTTTCCGTCGCATACTCTATGAATCTAGATAGACCATAGTTACATTCTATACGCACTAACACCTACTTCGCGGCGTGCTGTCGAGTTATACATATGTATAAAAAAAAAATAGCTATACGAGCTTCGCTTATGTTCGGCTGTCCAAAGATTGACATGTTCAAGAAAATCTTTTAATTTTGCGCCGCCTCCGAAAAGGTTGAAATGTATTTAATATACTA